GGCCGTGACCTTCTTCCTCATTGTTGGTGCAATCATCAAGGCGCTCTCATTCGTTTTTCACAAACCCACCGTGCCTGTGAGTCTCACCATTCTTAGTAGCGAACCTTGTTACTACTAGTAAGGCACCTGTTACTAGAAGCGATGCACTTGTTCCTAATAGCTTCTTGCTCCTATAAGGATGCTGTGAAAGGAACATGCAGAATATTTGATGCGCAGCTACATGGATCTTGACACATCTCTACGTTGCATCGAGTCATCTCAGGCCATCTTTACCATGCTGGGAGCTCCACTAGAACGGCGCCTGGGTCTGGCAGCACGGCAGGCGGGTGGTGCATAGCTGGCATAGCTGGTTGAACCCGAGCGTTGGCCAGGTCGTCATGGCCTCATTAGCTGGTCTGATTACTGGTGTTCCTTGGTCGGGCTTTGGCTTTGAAGCTGAAGAAAAGATGCTAATGTTTTTCCAAACCTCTTAAACAAAACTCGACCTTTTTGATCTTAAAACCTCTTCTCTTTTCAAGACATGTTTCAAAATTTGTTCCCCAATAGCCCTGCTATGGGGTCTTGCAAAACAAATAGGCGGACGGGCGCCGTCGGGTCACCGTCAGAGCTGGTGGGCGGATGGTGTCCCGGTCATGTTTTGATGGCGTCCGGGTCATGTGATGCTGGTGTCCCGGTCATGTTTTGATGGTGTCCCGATCATGTTTTGATTGTGACCCAGTCATGTTGTGATGGTGTCCCGGTCCTGTTTTGATGGTGTCCCGGTCATGTTTTGATGGTGTCCCGGTCATGTTGTGATGGTGTCCCGGTCATGTTTTGAAGGTGTCCCGGTCATGTTGTGATGGTGTCCCGGTCATGTTGTGATGGTGCCCCGGGCATGTTTGATGGTGTCCCGGTCGTGTTGTGACGGCGTCCCGGTCATGTTTTGATGGTGTCCCGATCATGTGATGGTGGCGCGGTCATGTTGTGATGGTGTCCCGATCATGTTTTGATGGTGTCCCGGTCGTGTTTTGATGGTGTCCCGGTCATGTTTTGCTGGTGTCCCGGTCATGTTGTGATGGTGTCCCGGTCATGTTTTGATGGTGCCCCGGTCGTGTTGTGACGGTGTCCCGGTCATGTTTTGATGGTTGTGATGGTGTCCCGGTCCTGTTTTGATGGTGTCCCGGTCATGTTTTGATGGTGTCCCGGTCACGTTGTGATGGTGTCCCGGTCATGTTTTGATGGTGCCCCGGTCGTGTTGTGACGGTGTCCCGGTCATGTTTTGATGGTGTCCCGGTCCTGTTGTGATGGTGTCTTGGCGGTATGCCGGTTATGTTTTGATGGTGTCCGGGTCATTGTGACGGTGTCCCGGTCATGTTTTGATGGTGTCGCGGTCCTGTTGTGATGGTGTCCTGGTCATGTTTTGGCGGTGCGCCGGTTATGTTTTGATGGTGTCTGGGTCATGTGACGGTGTCCCGGTCATGTTGTGATGGTGTCCGGTCATGTTTTCATGGTGTCCCGGTCATGTGATGGTGTCCCGGTCATGTTGTGATGGTGTCCCGGTCATGTTCTGATGGTGCCCCGGTCGTGTTGTGACGGTGTCCCGGTCATGTTTTGATGGTGTCCCGATCATGTGATGGTGGTCATGTTGCGATGGTGTCCCGATCATGTTTTGATTGTGTCCCAGTCATGTTGTGATGGTGTCCCGGTCCTGTTTTGATGGTGTCCCGGTCATGTTTTGATGGTGTCCCGGTCATGTTGTGATGGTGTCCCGGTCATGTTTTGATGGTGTCCCGGTCGTGTTGCGACGGTGTCCCGGTCATGTTTTGATGGTGTCCCGGTCCTGTTGTGATGGTGTCTTGGCGGTGCGCCGGTTATGTTTTGATGGTGTCCGGGTCATGTGACGGTGTCCCGGTCATGTTGTGATAGTGTCCCGGTCATGTTGTGATGGTGTCCCAGTGTCCCCGTCATGTCATGCTGGTGTCCCGGTCACCTTGTGATGGTGTCCCGGTTATGTTGTGAAGGTGTCCCAATCATGTTGTGACGGTGTCTCGGTCATGTTTTGATGGTGCCCTGGTCATTTTGTGATGGTGTCCCGGTTATGTGATGATGGCGTCCAAGGAAGAGATAGTCGATGTGTTGAAAACAGCAGCTGTTTCCAGATTTTTCTTTTTGTCCCGGTTTGTATCTTGCTATTGGGGTCTCCAGCTGGGCTAATTTGTTATTTTTCAACATCTTTATTTTCTTTAGACAGTTTTTTTCCCCTTTCATGTTATTTTTTCCCCGTCCATTTTTTGTTCCGCATGTTTGAGGTGGCCATATATCTCTTTCCTTTGGCCTTCGGGAGCGGCAAGGACTCCATGATGCCAACTATGGCCATGGCCACGGACACCAAGCAACAGCCGCGGACCATCTTTGCGCCTGAACTCTTTGGCCCCTAGACTGCTCCGTTCGTAGTACGGCCAGGAGCAGCTAGTAACTCAAAATCCATGTCAACTTCAATTTTCAGGACCGGACCACTTCAGTTTTTCTTGTTTCAGTGGGTTCGGTTTTCCATCGATAGACGACATGAACGACATCAGCATACAGCGTGAGCAGCGATGCATGTTCTTTTACATCAAAAAACAAGAAACTAAAAGGAAGAAAGGTCCAAAGAAAACACCAAAAAGAAAAATGGAAGACAGGCCTAAAGGAAACACAAAATGCATTCTATTGCTATGAGGTTGGAGGCCATCGCTAGTAGGTTGGAGTCTATCGCCCGGAGCGTCTTCCGATCAAGTCACGTGGTTCACGTCGCTCCACCGGACCTGGACAGCAAAGATCTCTGTTTCTACTAGGAACAAGTGCATCGCTACTAGTAACAGGTGCCTTACTAGTAGTAACAAGAAGCTATTAGACTTAAATTTAACTTTAAATTAAACTAATAGCTTGCTGTTACTACTAGTATGGCACCTGTTACTAGTAGCGATGCACTTGTTTCTACTAGCTTGTTGTTACTACTAGTAAGGCACTTGTTACTAATAGCGATGCACTTGTTCCTAGTAGCTTATTCTTGGAAGCACGAAAGCGAGCCAGCTCAGGCATCGCAGTGGCGAAGGTCGTTGCGTATTGGGCTTGTGCTCACGGCGGGCTCGTCCGCGTCTCATCTTACCCCATCTTGCCACAGTCAGTCTGAACGCAACACGAGACGCAGCCGCTAGGTGGGTGGGATTTTCTACCCGCTGCTGTATTTCGGCCGGATCCTGAAGCAGTGACCTCCAATCGATTCAATGCTTTACGGTCGTATCCGGGTTTTAGATTTGGGCCTTCCCTACCGATATCTACAAAGTAGTTTCGCTAAACATCTAGGAATCTAGGAACCAAATCATTAGAAGCGTGAACTATCCTGCGTTCAGTTACTAGAAGCTCACGTAGCGAGGAGCTTACTCCCTTACTTAATCAAGCAGGCGCCTACTTTATTCAGTACGGGCGGGCTTAAAAAGAGCAGAAAACCACGAAAAGCAAACAAGACTAGACCGTCAAATTTTCACGTCAAAATCCGAAGGTCTCACCATCGGCCTGATATGCGAGCAAGTATTTGGGATCGGTCAGGGGCTGATTGTGCTTCGCAGTCTTGCACGAATTGGTCAAGTGTTACTACTAGTAACAAGTGCCACGCTAGCAGTAACAAGTGCCTTACCAGTAGTAACAAGAAGCTATTAATTTCAAATAAGTTAATAGCTTCTTGTTACTACTAGTAAGGCACCTGTTACTACTAGCGATGCACTTGTTACTAGTAGCTTCTTACTTGTTACAATGTGTCAAAAGGATCACCTTTTTGCAACACCGCGGCATGCACTTGTTTTCTTTTTCTATAGGTCCACGCATGCCAAAATCTCACTATAGATTGTTGAGACAAGAAGGCATTTTTGTGATCTATTCTTTGTGGCTAAGATGGACGGGTTGCCGTGCCAGTGATGATTGGCGCTGCCCCTGGGGCATTGCTGCCAGCGCCCATCACTGCCCTTGCCTTTCCTGTGTGTATGTTCGTCAGGGCCCCCAGAACCTCTTGTTTGCGTTTTGTTCTTTTCACGTTTTCCCTATGTCTGTTGAAACTGGCTGTTGCCTCAGGTTTTCTGTTTCAATTATCTGATTGGTTGTGCACTTGAGGTGACGGGACCCTCACAAACAGTATCCTGGCAGTATTTAGTGACTTTTAAATTAGCAGACCTAATAGCGATGGCCTCCAACCTACTAGCGATGGCCTCCAACCTAATAGCTATGGCCTCCACCCTAGTAATTAGCGATGTCCTCCATCCTAGTAGCGATGGCCTCCAACCCACGAAAGTTTTTGTCCATTTCTTGCAGATGTCCAGCATTCATGTGAAAGATCTGCACAGCCACTTTTGAGAGGTTCCGATTCTCACTGCTGTGGTGATGGCAAATGCCATTCTCGTGGGCACCGGCTTTTTAGAGAAGATGATGGGTGGAAAGCGCTCCTAGCGGATACGTGGAAAAAGAAGTCGGTGCAGCCGATCCAAATCAGCTTCTTTCCTAGTAGCTTCTTGTGCATTTCTTCTTTCTCATTCTCACCGCACAAATAGTAGTAGCATTCACAAGACTAACCACGTTCTTGAGGGAAGGAACATAGAAAGGTCTAAGGTCCAAAGAAGAACCGAAGAACGACTAAGAAAAGAAACGACCAATATGTCAGAGCAAATATTATAATTCTTGTTAGCAAGCGGAAGTAACACACCAGAACGGTGAGCGAGCAAGGGGAGCTTTCGCTTTTCTTTTGTGTTTTGACTTTCAAGTAACATTTCCATAAACATCTAGGAAGCACATGAATGGTGCGCGAGCTATCCTGCGTCCTAGGAGCGAACAACTTAGGTAGCAGCGTCCTGTAGCTAATGGAGCTACTAATAACTACCTACCTTTTCTAGCGGTGTACCCCCTCGGCGGGCTTTAAAAATAAAGATATCTCTTTGTTTTGTCAACGTTTCGACAGACAATTTGCAGACAATTTGCCCTTCGTTTTCACCCAGGAGTGTGAAGCACCTGAGGGTCCTTCACGTCGTGCGCTCAGATTGATCCAATTTTATTCCCCAAACAGTGTCGACTCAGTGTCGACACACTTAGGGGTTCTCACGGTAGTGGTTAAGCAGCTGTGCTTAGATCGCTGTGCCGCGCGAGCGTGTCCAGCTAATTCGCTGCTATTTGCGGTACATTCATGCCTCTCCAAATCGTCGACATGCATTTCGACTCCGCAGGCTCGCGGCGAGTACTTGTCGCGACTGCGCTCTCGTTGTGGTGCCATGCGCATTTTGCACATGGTGATCACTTTTCGTGGCAGGCGCAGGGGAAACCTCGTGTTTTGGTGGTCCAAAGTCGACTTTTCGTGACAGGGGCAAGGGATCGGAGCGGCTGTACTTCGATGTGCAGATTTCGTGGCAGGTGCATACTTTGGACATGGTCGTGATGTTCGAGGTGCTCTGATCTCGTGACAGGTGCAGTGAACTGGGACTTTTGGACATGTGGCTCGTTTGCAGACTTCGTGGCAGGTGCAGCACTTGGTGACTCTCAGATGCTCACTCTCACTTTCTCACTCACCTCTCACCTCATTCTCACTCACTCACACAGGCTCACGCTCACGCTCACTCTCACTCTCACTCTTCACTCACTCTTCACTCACATTGACATTCACACTCACACTCACTCACACACTCTCCCACTCTCACTCACTCGCACTCACACTCTCTCTCTCTCTCACACACTCACTCACTCACTCACTCACTCACTCACTCACTCACTCACTCACTCACCGCCACCGTCACCACGATCCCCGCCTTCATCACCCCAATGCGTCTAGATCTCACATACTGTCGGGATAGTTTTCTTTTTTGGGCCGACCTCCCATGACCTCCCTCCTCATAGCGATGACCTCGAACCTAAGAGCGATGGCTTCCAACCAACCAGCGATGGCCATCCTCTTAAGAGCTTTGGCCCCCAACCTAAGAGCGATGGCCTCCCTCCTAAAAGCTTTGGCCTCCAACCTAAGAGCGATGACCTCCAACCTGCTAGCGATGACCTCGAACCTAAGAGGGATGGCTTCCAACCTACTAGCGATGGCCAAGAGCAGTGACCTCCAACCTACTAGCGATGGCCTCCAACCTAAGGGCGATTGCCTCCAATTCTTTAGACACGTGGACCTTTTGTATTCTTTTTACTGTGTCTTAACTTGATGCATTTTCCTGGTGAGCGAAGCCGCCACTGGGGTGAGGCGCTTTTGGTTGCAAAGCAGCATATAGATATATATATATATACACACATGTATACTGTATAGCCTAGTTCTTCTCTTCTCGCTGCTGCCGCTTTATAGCACTGCCAGAGCAACTGGAATTTGGAACAGAGCTGTTGAGTGTGACAAAACACACTTAATTTAATCATTTCTCTCTGAGTGTTTCATTTTTCATAAATTCAGACCAAGAGACTTTTCTTCCTTTTTCCATTTTCTTTAGACCTAACAAGAAGCTAGTAGTAACAAGTGCATCGCTACTAGTAACAAGAAGCTATTAGAATCAACATTAGTAGCTTCTTGTTCTTTGTTTTTTCCGGTCTTTTGTCCTTTGTTTTCCGCTCTTTGGACCGGAATTCTCTCTCTCTCAAATTGCCGAGGCTGGGAGTTGCTCAGAAATGACGCTGAGGAGGCACGACGTATTCGAGATCAGGACGGGAACAAAGCGGAACTATTTAGGGAGTGAGCAATCTTCCTGCGGAACCTGCCTTCACAGTCGAATTTATACCGAAGAAAAAAAACGACAGTCCAGCCAGGTTTAACAGAAGTGGGAGGCAAGCAATCTAGTGAAACAACACATTGGAGAAACAAGATACTAAGATTGCAAACACAATCAAAAATATTGAAGAGTAAGCTGCACTTACCGGCCATCGCCATTAGGCGTGCAGCTTGAAAAGTCTGCAAGTTTGGCTTCAGGATCCCATCGAGGAGCATCTCATTGAGCAGTACGTGGGCACTCTTCGGCGAAGAAAGTTCAGATCTCAGAAGTCTTGAGCGATGGGACAACTTGGCAGGAACGAAAGAAAAAGGAAGGACAATAGACAAAAAAGAGCAATCAAAAGAAGAAATGAAGAAAGGTTTAAAGAAAACACATGCATGTCAATGTCTAAAGAGAAAAAGAACAGATAAACATATATAAAGAACGCACACACACACACATTCTTTGCAGGAGAAGTGGGTAAGATCGTTCTTTGTCTTTCGATTCAGTGACACTTTGAAATAGCATGAATCTGCTTGGCAACATCGAAATTGTGACATAAGCACTTGCACCACGACATCCATGTAGTAAACTCCATAGATGGACCATGTGGACCTTTTTGATGAACACGTAGTTTTTCTTGACCTGTCTTCTTCACACTTTTCTTGATTCACATTTTGTTTGATATGCTTAAACCGTTTATATGTTTAACCGATGTTTGACATTTTTTGATGAACACCGTTTTTTGTTGCAGGGATCCCAACGCGACGCACTCTGATGCCCTCGCCATGCCCTCAGCAAGTGGACACCAGCCATGCAGGGCCATGCCCTGGTGCTTTGGCCGCGTCTTCGTTGGACATCTAGTTAGAATGATTTGTTTTGGAACGAAACTAGGTTGGAGGCCATCGGTAGTAGGTCGGAGGCCATTGCTTCTAGGTTGGAGGCCATCGCTACTTAATAGCTATTGGTAGCTACTCTAGCTGGTCTTGCCCCTGTTACAACCTTAGCATACTTGGCAACCACTTCTTTTTCAACCTACCCCCAGTACTGACAATATAGTATATGTTAGATACTATATATATATATAAACCTAATTTCAACATTTACTTTTTGAAGAAAACATCGATACTTTTGTGGTGCTAATCTTCTTTTTGCAGCAAGGCCGGGCTGCTTAAGCGGATGTGGCAAGGAGAGCCAGAGGCGGGGCACAAAGTTGCAGACTTTCCTTCCTTGTTCCCAAACGACATGCATCTGTGGTGAATAGCCTCCAACCTCCTAGCGATGGCCTCCAACCTAAGAGCGATGGCCTCCAATCGACAGAAACAAAGAACTCGCATTTCAACTTTTCTCTTTGTAATGGCTGTTTCTTGTTTTTTCTTTTGCTTTTAGATTTTGACCTTTCCATTTTGGTATGTTTATATGCTGTCCACAGACAATACGTGTCCAATTGGTCCCGAATTTGAACGCATTTCGTCGTCTCGATGTGTCTGGTCTCTCATGGACTCGGCCCCCAGTTGAACAGCGTCAATCAGCTTCAGCTTGTCGGTTTTGATTCAGTAGCCAATAAAGTCGCTATTAGGTTGGAGGCCTACGTCCCATTAGGACGAACATTATCATAGCTCAATATTAATTCCGTTTGCTTCGCTAGATCCTTCTGGTATCTCTTTAGCTTCCATGAAACGTACACAGAGCTTCCTCCTGACTCTTCAGCTCCTTTCACGTGGAAGCTTGGTGCTCCAGTTCCATTGCCAGGTGGCGGAGTTTATGGAATTTGTTTTCACAGAGTTCAGGCTGGGCCAAGGGCAACCTGTTTTCGATCCTTTTAATGTCCAATTTGTTTTTAACATTTGTGTTGTGCTTTATACAAAGCTTCTTTCACAGGCTTGGGCCTCAAGCACAATGACAGCAGACAGCCCTTTCTTTCTAAGACCTTTTCGAGGTCTTGACCTTCACTACACCTAGCTCACGTGTAAAGTTTTCATCCAACTCGGTTTGAAGTTGAGACCAGGCACCACTATAGTCACTAGAGTGGCCGAACCCGAAGCTTGACAAAGAAGGGGGAACATATTAAGTTAAGCTTCCCTAAGAATCTAGGAGCTAAACTAGCAATGGCCTCTAACCTATTTGTAAAAAGAAGTAAGAAGTTAAACCAAATCATTAGAAGCGTGAGCTACCCTGCGTCCATATTTGTAGCAGCGTCCCAGTAGCTAGGAGCGAACTTTTTTCTTACTGAATTAAGCAGGTGCCTACTTAGTCAGGAGGCAGGGCCGAGCCGGCTAAAGAAAAAAGAAAAACAACGCATCGTTTGCATGCCGCATCAATCATGCACGTCCGTAAAGCAGTGGCTTCGCCAAGATCCTTCCAGGTCCCTCCAGTTTCTGTAAGGCCAGGAAGCAATTTTGTTCTTAAAGACTCTTGCTACTGTTACGAAGTGATTCGGTGCAAGACTGGCGAGCACCCCGTATACTGTAGGAGTAGGATTGAATGTTTAGTAGAATGCGTTCTTGTTCCGAAACGTTTTCTTTCTGTAAGGTTTCCAGATTCCGGAAGAATTTCAGTATATAGCTGGGGCGGACCAAGCACTTTGCTGCTTGCAATGGGTGATAAAGGCCAACCTGGAGTTTTCAATCTGGTGTAGCAAAGTGTCATACAGTTGACTGTTTGTGGAGGTCCATTCCAATGCTCTGGCGCTTCTTGAACATTTCCAAGAAGAGCCTGAAAGGCAGGAACGGAATCAGCATAGCATGGCGAAACATAGGTCAGTGTGGCCTTCATTCCAAGGGGGTGCCTTCGTAGCAACGGATATGGATGTTAAATACCTAGGGCTGTAGGGCCTGCGAAAAGTCAAAGTAATAGCGATGCCCTTTGCTACTACTAGTCCTACTAGCGTCCGTAGCGATGCCAGGAGCCCATAGTAGCGAACATTGCTCCTAGTAGTAAGCCCAGGAGTCCCTAGAAACCAGTAGCGTCCTTGCTCCTACTAGCGATGGCCTCCAACCTAGTAGCGAAAAGTCAAAGTTGTATGGTTGTATTCCGGAATACATTCCGGTAGATTCTCTATTTTTTTGGTCTTGGACCAGAATCTCTTGTTACTTTCTGTCTTCCTTTGTCTTTGTGCATTTCTTAATTTGCTATTAATTGCTTTTGTGCTTCTTTGCTTCCAAGCTTCTCAGGGGATGATGGCGCATAGCTCAGAGATACGTCAAGACCTGTCAAAGGCTTCAGGTCGAAGATGAGCATCTGAAAAGGACTTTGGACACAACAAGAGAGAAAGGGAAAAAGAAAAAACCGGTCCAAAAGATAAAAGGACAACACAGCCTAAAGAACAACTTATAGAAATTCTTGGTCAGTACTGAGTGGCAGGCCAAGACCCTAGGCCTAAAGGAGCAAAAGAAGCCTTCTAAACGTGTCTGAGATGCTATCATTTTCGCCTTTTCTTGAGACCTTTCTTCCTTTTAGTTCTTTCTTTCTTTCTTTCTTATTACGTGTAAAGCAACACCTTCTAACGTGGGTGAGGTGTTCTCACAGAGGAGGACTTCAGGACTGCAATGCGATGTCTCTTTTCGAGGGAAGGCCGACAACCAGTTGAGGCAGGAGATTCACCATGCTCGCAGAACCCGGAAAGCAGAATTGTCTTTCAACTGCGTCGACTGCGTCTATCCAGGCCCACATGTCTGGCTTATTCGACCTGCTTGACACGAACAAGCAAAATCGGATTAGGCCAGTGAAGTGGATTATGCATGTGAAGACTCACCCATCACCCTAATGGCAATGGCCTCCAACCTACTAGCGATGGCCTCCAACCTAATAGCATGCATTCTCCAACACGAACTTTCTGGAAGGGTGGCGCGGGGGGGCAGGATTGTGGAGAATGATGTTTGGCAGGTTGTCAGACATTCTGCACGAAGAACCTCATGCAGGTGCCCATTTGACGGAACCTGGAAGTGCCTTTGATCATTGCTTCTTTGCTGAAACGAAAGGATTTGCAGTTTTGGACGTTGCTGGACACTCTGAAGTTTTTCAGACCCGGGGACCCAGAGAACGTGTTCAGGGGTGTGGTTGGAGGCCGCTAGCAGGTGGGAGGCATTCCCCAATGCACGTGCGCTGAAGTGAAAGAAGCACATAGCTCACGCCCGCTCATGCGCCCGAAGTGCGTGCGCCGCAATTTGCCTCACTTGTTTCACTCCTCAGTTCATGAAAGAACTCAAAAGCCCAGCATGTTGGCTACTAGGGGCTGCTGGCATCGCTACTAGGACCTAGGAGCGATCGGACGCTACCAGGGGCTCCTGGCCGTACTACTAGGAGCATCCTTACTACTAGTAACAAGAAGCTACTAGGGAAGGACGAACCAAGGAGCTACATGGCTACTTGACCCAGCTGAGTGATGAAACTAATTGATGAGCTAGCTAGCTTCTTGTTACTACTAGTAAGGCACTTGTTACTACTAGCGATGC